GGCTGACAGACACTGCATGTCTTTTCTCCATATTTCACTCACACCCGTGTTTATTTCCCCCCAGCCACCACACCCACACCCACCTCACTCCCCTCTCTGCCTTTGCAAGCCTTCCTCCCCCCATCCACACTCAGAGTTCGTCCCGCACGGTCTGATCTGGGGCAGCTGTGTGGACAGAACTTTCTGCTGCTCTGCTAGTGTCAGACACATGGCTGTCACTGTCGGGCAGCAGCCCCACGTTGACCACCTGAGCCACCACGACAGCCACGATCATCAATAGAAGCATCCAGAACACACACGTACGGCAGCCGCGACCTGCACACGGACGTTTTCTAGTCGAGTCGGCAACCTGGTGCTGGCACAGCGACACACAGACACACACACACACACGCATGTCGTTACTCTCTCGCCCGCACATTTGCGCATGTTGCTTGACTACCATGAGGGAGTAATCGGCGCCAGCAGAGACCAGCAGCCCACGTCTACACACACACACACACACACAGGCCAGTCGACCAACAGGCGCGCATAGCATCCCCTTACTGTGCGAAGCAGACGGCCTTTGTGGGAAGGCCGTGGGGCATGTAGCTGTACTGCAGACTCCAACCACTTCCACTAAACCAACACACACACACACACACACACAGAGAGAGAGAGCCAATACACACGCACACACACACACACCATAAATGACAAAGAAATGTGGTCGTTCCCCCCCTTGCTGTGTGCTCTGCGTACGTCGGGAAAGGTGTGTTGATGAGCCTCACGCCACCGTCAGTCAGGCCTAGAGCGACGGACCTGCCGTCAGCACTGAGTGAGTGGGCGAGGGATACACACACAGACAAACACGAACAAACCACATCGTTTTGCTGAGTGAGAGTGTGTGTGACTGTGTGGGTGACGTAGGTACCTGATGTTGATGCTGCAGCAGGGCACCTTGTCGGCCAGGTACTGCCCGCCAACCATCTCAACCCGGCTCCCCGACACCCTCCTGTCAGTCATATGCACACACACACACACACACATCCACATGCATGTGTCTGTGGATGGATGTGCTGCCCACCAGATGGTGAGTGTGGTGGGTCCCCTGGCGCCGTGTGCGCCCACGAGGACGTACTTCCGACTCGCAGGCCCACCCACGTCAGGAAAGAACCTGATACACTTACACACAGGCGATCGATGAATGCGTGTGTGTGTATGTGTGTCTGCCTTCTGTGCCTGCCCCGCCCACCTGCAGAATCTGGGCATGAGGCTCTTTGCTCCAGCTGGCGCCTTTGCCGGCGCCGGGCACGCCTGATAGCAGACACACACACAGACAGACAGACAGACAGACATGTGGAGAGATTCACATACAGATCAGAAATGTGCCCGTCCAGCTATGGACCTCTTGAGCAATCTGTTCGCCCGTCTGAGTGTCCCACAACCGAAATGTGTTGTCCCGGGAAGTGGTCGCCACCTGCACTCACCCACACCCACACCATCTGCGACCTGCTCGCGACTCTGACCATCCATCCATCCATCCGTCCATACCAGGGAAGAGTCGTGTGCGAAATCGCAGTCGAGTGCGCCGCTCTCGTGGCCCCGACACGTGTGACGCAGATGCAACCTCTGAGGAAGGACCACACACAGGGACACACACCATGGGTATAAGTGTGTGTGGGTGGTGTGTCTTTCCCCCCAGCTGGGGCCGGCCGACTGACTTTGATTTCAAAGGGTGCAGTGGGCGGTTTCTTCTTGAGAGCGGCCGCCAAGGTCTCGGGCGGCTTAGACGATGACGACGCCGCAGAGGATGACGGCCTCTGGTCACGCGGCTGCTTGTCCAGCCACTCCACCTCCCACAACCTGAATCCGACAGACTCATGGGGGGAATTGGATGCGTCTTGGCCGTGGCCGTGTGTGTGTGTGTGTGTGTGTGTGGCTTTCTGTTGCGTGCCTGAGAGTTCCATCTTCGTGGACGGTGGCGAGTGCGCGACTCTGTGGGTCGAGTGTGGCCATCTCCTGCTCCTTCCGCGTCCTCTCATCGGTCGCAAACTCACCCAAATTCATCACACCACTGCCCAAAACACCCACAGTCGCACACACACACACACACGTGTGCGGCGTCGATGGCCATGAGCGTACCCTGCATCAGTGTCGACGTACAGGAACGCACAGAAGGTCCTGACGCTGCACACCCATACCCTCCGCTGCACACACACACACATGCACATGCATCCCATCCATGTGTCCAATAGATGTATGTGTCCATGCTAGGTATCAACACACGCACAGAGACCAACAAATCCCTTCCTCCCTCCCTCCCTCGGCCTGCCGACTCTCGGCCTGTGTGTGTGTCCATCTGACTAGCTACGCACCGCTTGGCTGAACCGCACTGTGGTGAAGATGCCGGTGTCGGTGGGCAGCGAGAAGCACCGCTCCACCGACGGACGCCGACGGGCCGAAGGACCCACACGCAACAGATCCTGAATAATCGAACCAACACACACACACACACACACACACATACCGCCCATCTGTCCGCCATTCGTTCCTCCTTCTGTGCAGATCAGATCTGACCAGCTGGTTCTCAATGCCGTACTCACGTCCGCCGCCGCCACCAACCGTCAACACGTACCCGCTCGAGTCGGAGTCAGCCTGAATGAATGACACACATCACACACACGACACGCGCAAACAGCGAACCTTCTTGCAATTGCAATGGCTGGCTGGCAGGTTGGTGAGTAGATCTCTTCAATGCTGTGAGCTCACGGCAAAGATGGGGTAGTCCAGGAAGAGCGGCTGCTTCAGCGTCATTATACGCACAGACGCTGCACTCGACAGATCAACGCCGAGATCTTTTCACCAAGGTTGAGCTCGCATGACGTGGGGTTCGGTTCCGCATTGCAAAGGGCGTCTGCGCCCCTTTGCAAAGGGCAACGAATATACCCTTGCTGATGGATTAAAAGATGCACTCTCAAACGCAAGAGGCAGATAGTCTATCAGTCAGTCAGTGCATGAATTGCCTGCATGTCCACTGCGGCGCGATTCAACCAAGACACACACTCGACTGTCATTTCAGTGGACGTACGAACAGTGTCGTAGACGTCCTCTTGTCTGTCTGTCTGTCTGTCTGACTGACTCACTGACTGACTGACTGACTGACTGACTGAGGCCTCTCTTACTTTCTGGCACGCTGCATCCATCGTACGAACATATCTCTGTATATCTCTCACACGCATACAGACAGCAGCTCGAGAACAGCCAGCACAGTTTGTCCTGTCACCTCGCCCGTCCGCCGGCGGCCCGGTCGCTCACTGAATATAGTGCGTGACATACACACGAGGGAAGGTATACATGGGCTCGTGCGTGTCCGGTGCAGTGTGTTGTGCGTGCGCGTGTGCGTGTCCGACCCGGTGATCGATGTACTCATAGCATAGCCTGTATAGCCCACTCTCGACGCGCTCTGCACCATCTATGGCCCAGCTAAACGAACCAAGGAGATGCGACCGACAAACAGGCAGGCCAAGAGACACAGACAAGCATATGCGTTGCACCCATTCACAGACAGATTCACACACGCATCATGACATGCATCTCCGTGTGGCCGGCCACCTGGAGGTGTTTCCTATCGGCCTCGCCAGCGCTCCACCCTCGAACAGAAGGATGCTCTCAAAGAGGTCTCCCACAGTGATGCCCCGCTTCTGGCACACACCACACCACAACACACCCCACCACACCACACCACACCACATGCACACATACAGCCCACAGATGGCGTGGCGTGGGGCAAGTAAACTTGACTCCCACCCGATCTGAGGCGATGATGGGGAGCGTGTATTCCTTCCAACTGGTCAGGTCGTCCTTGAACTCGTCACCGCGATAGCACGGCCCGAAGGTGTAACCGTCCGTGAGGTCGTCGTCGTCGCGCGAAACACCTGCACGTAGAACCAGATTCAAATACGCACACATGGACGGACGGACGGATGGATGGGGCACCCGTGAGTGAGTGAGTGAGTGCACGCACAATTTCCTGTGTGTGTGGAACTTGCGAAGGACGTTGGTGAGGAGCAGCGATGGGAAGGGGTACACCACGTCAGTCCACTTCTCACCCGTGTTGGGCCCCCACTCCTCCTCCATTATCTGGTACGCCTCGGCCTTCTCCTCTGCCGTGCCCCGGCCGCCGCGAATGAGCTCCCGCAAAGTGGGGTCCTTCAGGCCCCACTCAAGGGTCGCCCCGTGCAGGGTGATCTTCTGAGGCTCCCCTCGGCGTTGTCGAGGCATCTTCTCCACCACGTGGTCCAGGCGCTCCTCGTAGAATTCCTTGGTGCTTTCGTAGGCTGACATAGGACACAAGCACGTGGGCCACACACATCTGTTCACCCCTTGCTCATATGGTTATACGACTGCCTATAGTGCTGACCCATTTGGATGGCCACGAGATTGGCAGGATGAATCGCCATGTAGCCGTTGGGCTCGTCGAGTGCGGCGTTGATGGCCGGCTCGAGCTGCGAATTGATGGCGTGGATCCGCCCCAGCTGTCCGTCGGTCACATCAAGCAAAACCAAAGCATCCGTCGCCGCGTGTGCGACGAGTGTGGACGAGTGTGCAGCTCACGCACCTGTTGGGGTGTCAGGGTATCCTCGCGGACACACTGAAGCATCTCGAGGGTATCCTGCAGCTGAACAGAGGGCAGCTTCCTTGTGTCGTGTTGTCCGCCCTTGCTTCTCTGACCTGCTTCAGGCCGGAGCACATGCGGTAAGCTTGCTCTTGCACCTCTATCAGCGTCGCCTGCAGACACACAAATTTAGGGGGGGGAAATTGTCATTAACCGTAACACTCGTCTGTGTGTCCGTGATACTCATACAAATACAGTCCCATCAGCACGCAGAGTCAAACAGGCTCAAGGGGAGGAGGGATCAATCCCCGCCCCATCAGCACACCCCAGT